CCAAGAAAATTATTAATGCTCATTATCCTGAGAACCTTTCCCTTTGTAGCTCTGGGCCATAATGGACAGTTTTACATTTTGGGAGGGGGAAAGAGACACATTTTGCCCCAAACCCACTTCGTAAAAATGGGAAACGATGGGTGGCTCTGATGGAAATTGCTGCTCTTGGTGGCCTTCTGAGGAAGTGGAATAAATTGAACCAAAAAGTCACATTTCATAGCAAAAACCACTGGGGCAAACAGCACTGGAGGAGTGGGGGAGCAGCCTGGAAAAGTGCTTCTCAGGGATCCCTATCCTGCAGGACCTCCCCAAAGCCAGGCTGTCCATGCCAAATTTCTGCTGGAGTTGGTGACCACCCAGCAGGGCTCAGGCTGGTCCTGTTTTTTCCCAGAGGTGAACTGGCACTGCTGAGACTGCCATGAACGAGAGGGAGGAAAATTGAAGCAGGAAAAAAAAAAAATTAAAATGGAAAAGTTTGGGTTTTTTGGTGATTTTTTTTTGCTTATTTTGAACATGGGAAAAAAAATGTAACAAATGGCAAGGAAGAAGTTGACAGGCTTCAAGGAAGGCTTTGAAATAACACAACTGCAGAAGGCAAAGGAGAATAGCACTTAATTCATCCTCCTAAGGGTAACTCAGTGATTTCTCTTCCTTCTACCCCCTTTGGCAGCTTCCACTGCCTGCAGACCCCATGAACTCGTCGCTCTCTCCCCTCTCACTGCACAGAAAGCATCCTACGAGCAGAGCTCCACCTTGACCATGAAAACACCACGAGCAGCCAAAGGAAGCAGATGTCTAGCAGCTCCTGCAACCCAGAGACAACCCAAATCTAATCTCCTCCTCTAGCCTACGTGCCACGCTGCTCCTGGAGCTGCTGCCCACCGTGTGCGGAGGCACCGAGGAGAAGGGAAAAACACGTCGGGCTGCCTTTAAATACCTGTTTTTTTCTGTGTTTCTGTCACGGGCACAGAGGCAGCAAACTCAGAGGCTGGTCTGGTGGTGCTTGCTTATGGTGGGAAGCAGAAATTCAGAGATAATTAGAGGGTGAAATGGTGTAGGGCTGGTTTAAATGTCTGGCTTTAAAGCAAGGAGGGATTTTAAAACTTCTAAAGTTCAGAAGGGGGTTACAACAGAGCGTCTCTCTTTGGGATTCTAACCCTGCTTGGGGGCCACCTCCTGCAGATGTGTCCTAGGGGTCACCTCTTTCACAAAGGGTTTCCCTTGGGGCCCAGGTGAATTAAATCTGCAGGCCCTTGGGAATGTCATGGTTTTAAAGAAATAACTTTCTGTTTTGCATGGAGGAGGAGGAGGAGGAACATCTCTGACCAAAAGCAGATCAGACTTAAGCTGTGCCTTGATTTCCTATTTCTGGTCAAGGGCACACAGTGGATCTTTGGCATCATGCTGCCCAGGTAAGAGCAGGTCCTTGAGCTGCTGGCTGCCCTCTCCTGTGCAGCAGCCCCTCCAGGGACTGTCACCACTCCCAGGCACACTGTCCTGGGGTGGCACCTGGCTCTGCAGAAGCACACATGGGGATCTGGATGGGGGTGAGGAGCTCACAGTTCAGGCCTGGCTTTATCAAGCCACGAGCTGGCAGCTGGGCTGCAATTTATTAATTTTGTCCCTTACCATCAGTTAATGAAAGCATTAGGAAAGCATTTTCTCTGCCCAGGAAGCAGGTTTTGGAGAAGGAATAAACCCTGTGATGTCTCTCAGGTCCCTCAGAGCAGCCTGACAGGAGAGGTTACCCCCAGCACCCCAACTCCCCACAGACACTGTCCTTGCCTGAGCCAGAGGTGCCACAAAGGCAGAGCACTGCAAACCACACAAGAGACACACCAAGCAGCTACCCAAATGAACACAGCACAAAAACAGCCCTAAAATATCACTACAGGTGAGCATGGATAAAAATCACATCAGCCCAAGTGCATTGTGTGGATGCAGATGGGGTCACCTGGCCCTGCTGGGGCCCTGGGGATGGGGTGAGCTCCGTGCTGGAGCTCCTCCTGTACAGGTGCAGCATGGATCTGGGTAAGGAGCTCTTCCTAACAGAGCTGAGCCTTGCAATCTTTCTCCAGGGTCACTCCAACTCCATGGAAGCTGGACCTAAACCCTCGGCTCCCTGATTAACTCCTCAAGCAGGGTACTTCCATGAATATATCTATATTTGCATAAACATGCAATCAAGCTTCCTCATCCCTTTGACTGGCTTCTGGCAGCTCCCCCAGACAGACTGTTACTAACATGCTGTGGGTGTAAAACGTCCTCCTGGGAAATATCAGGCCCTGAAAGCATGGCAAAGGGAGGAATGCGTGTCTAATTCCCCCATGAACAGCTTAAAAAAATGTCCTGCTGTTAAGTTTTATCTGCTCATTTCCAAAAGACAAGGAGAAACGCTGTCTCCTTGTTCACAGGGGGAGGGAAGGAGGAACCCCCAGAAAAAGGACAAAAGTTTTCCTCCTCTGGGTGATTTCAGAAATTAGGAATGGATGTTTCTGGCACGTGTGTGAGCTCCAGCCCTGCACACTCCCGTGCTGCTTGGACAGCAGCCACATGGGAAATGCTGAAATTCTGCAACAGGAAAACTGCACCTGCAGTACCTCCATGAGTTTGGCCACAGGGATTTGGTGCAGGATTGGGACAACAGCAAGGTCACAGCAAAACCTGTGGGCTGCTCCGAGTCTGGTGGCAAGTGGCAGGAGGTCAGGGATAGAGCAGGATGGGGTAGAATTCCCCTCTCTTTACAGAGAAATATGTGGTTTAAATTCATTATGGATCAAAAACCTCTTCATTGCCTTCCTGCCTTGCTTATCATGGAGCTGTGACAGCATCTCTGGCACAGCTGCAAACCAGGGCTGCCTGGTGAGCTGAAAGTGAGCCAAGTCAGGGTGATTTTTATCCATGTCCCTTTATCATCCTACAGAGCAGAGATCCACAGCTACCAACACAGCAGCTGAAAGAGGAGTCTGGGCACAGAGTCCTGGCTGCTGAGCGGGGCAGGGAGCGTGGCACCCACCTGGCTGGGTGGTGCTGGCTGCTAGGGGGGTGCTGCTGGTGGTTGTGGTGGTTGAGGCGATGGTTGAGGTGATGGTGGTGGGTTTTGCAGTGGTGGTTTTTGCAGTGGTGGGTTTTGCAGTGGTGGTTTTTGCGGCGTTTACTCGCGGCGGTCGCTCGTAGGCTGACAAGCAAAGAGAAGAGTTGGGAGGTATTTACGGGGGGGATGGGGGTTTCCATGCCAGCCTGCACACCCGTGAGGCTGCCTCTGCTGGGCTGAACTGGTGGCTGATGTCTCAGCACGGTCACAACTGGGGCACTGGCAGGATTAAGGCGACGGCTCCACGAGCTGCCCACAGCGAGGGCGTGTGTGTGTGTGTGAGCAGGGGCTGCAGCTGGGGCTGCATCAGCTTACTCTGTTGGTGCAGATATTGGCTTAAATACTTACAGCTCGATCATAAACTAATTGCCAATTAGGCTGAAAAGGGGAGATGAAGGCACGTCCGGGCAGGGACGGGGTGAAGAGCAGGCAGGAGGTGCCAAGGAACCCCCAGGCCAAGCTGCGCTCCCACTGCCCGGTGCCCACATGCCCAGCTGTGCTCCATTCCCTGCTGCCACCCCTCCCCAAATTACCTGGCACCATCAAAGCCAACCAGGACCATTGGCACCCTTGTTTTCAGTGGCACCCTTCAAATTTTGGGATGGTCAGCAGAGCCCCCGTGGAGCTGGGCAGGAGCAATCCCACCCCACTGCTCCTCACAACAACCCCACTAAAATAACACTGGGACACAAATTCCTGCTTAACTCACACCTGCTGCCCTCCTGTCCTTGTTTGTCCCACTGCTTCACGCAGATTATCGTGCTTAATTTCATAATAGCCCTGAGCTAGTTTAAATACTTAATTTAGGTCACTTCTAGTCTCCTATGTGGGTTAAATAATCTCTCCTTAACTGGCCTTGGACATAAATCCTTCCTGTCCTCCTCCTGCACATCACTCCCAGCAACCTCCCAGCTTCCAGGGAAACAAAAGTAGTGCTGAGGATGCCAAGCTTTGTAAATGGGAGGGAAAAAAGTTATCAAAATGGTTTTGAAGACAAAGATGAAGAACATTTTGAACTGTTGAAACTTTTTTTTTTTAATCCTAAATTACTTAAGGGAGACCTTTAATTTTTATTTGAAAATTTCAAGCAATTAACTGCTAAAAATCTAAATATGGTTCATTTACCCAGAAAACCTGTCCTCCATTTTTCTATTAGGTGCATTTTTCTTAATTGCATTTGCATTTCCCTGAAACGATTCCTCCTCCAATTCTTCCCACTTGTCTGCAAAGCAAAGAACTCATTCATTCAGCTCCCTGATTTCTTTCTTCTGGAGGGGCACTCTGCACCACAACATTCAAACCCAGGCTCTGCTTACCCAAAACTCCAGGCTCTTTGATATCAAACTACCTCCAGCTTTGTTAAGTAAGGAGCCCTCTCCTGCCATCAATCTTGCAGCAGAAATCCCTGCTGAGCTCTGCCTTTGCTGCTGACACCTCACAGACATTTGTTCATATGCATACACGTGTACGTACAGATGTACACACACTCCGTATGCTTTTTTATTGATAGCCCAAGGTGACCCAGGCTGGGTTCTACACCAAATAATTCACACTCAGCTCCTTCTCAGAGCAGAATTCTGCAGCACTGGGGGGCTAAGGAGGGAGTTCACAGCCAGCACTGGTGATTTTGAAGAGTCTTTTTTTATTTCCTTTCCGGCTGCCGTACTAACGAACCTCATGGGGGGAAACCATGCCAGAGGAAGAGGCAAAATGAGGCTGCTGAAGTCAGAGGAAGAAAATATAAGACTCTTTGACAGGACAGAAAATGAGGCACAATTAGGGAAGACTTATTGCCTGGAAAATGATAATGGATAGAAAATAACCATATTTTTTTTTCCTAGTGACATCCACAAGGATCATGCACCGAGGCATTAAATGCCAGCATTTCAATCAGGGTTTTACTTACTGCCAAAGGCTGAGCCTGCAGCTGCACCTGGAAAAAAACAAGAGGAAGCCCAGTCACTGGAAGCAGGACACCATCAGAAGATCACAGAGACACACAACATGGGACTGAACAGCAGCTAATTAGTGGGGGCTTGCTCACAGGCACATCAGTTTGCTGCTACAGCTTAAAAGCTGCTTTTGTCAAAGCACAGAAACAGCCAGACAACTCTGTCTGGGCTCCTGGCATCTCAAGCCTTTCACCTGGGGAAGGAAAACCAGCATGGTCCTGGCTGCTGGGTTTTTTCTTTAACCACTTCCTTGGGCTGCTGGGACAGCCCAGCAAAGGACAAGCACACAGAGCACTGGGTTAAGGACGAGCTGTAGGGTCTGAACAATCACAGAATCACAGAATGAGCTGGGCTGCAAAAGACCTTTAAGATAATCTAGTCCAACCTATGTGCTAACACCTCCTCATCAGCTACACCATGGCACTGAGTGCCACATCCAGTCTTTTTTTAAACAGTCCATGGGCCTCCCTGCTGTGGGGGTGAATCATGGAAAGTCTCAGCTCTGTGTGAATACAAAGCTCAGTGATGGAAGAGGCAGGACTACCGAGAGCAGAGGGCTTCAGAGAGCTGCCTCTGGGGCAGAGGAAGAGGATGTTGATGTGGGGAGGAGGAAGGAGCAGAGAGAGTTGGGGTGGGGAGGAGGAAGAAGACTGAATGACAGATGGAAATAGAGATGAATGGGAGAAGGAAGAGCAGAGGAAAAAGAGAAATAGGAAGAGACACAAGGAATGGAGGGGAGGGAAAGAGAGAGAACAGCATGTCTGTGCCTGTCAACACCAGAAACTCTCCCAGGCTCCTTTGAAGCAATGCAGCCGCTTGGTGGGAGCTGACAAGCTCGTTCCCTTTCAAAGAACCTGCTCGTCTACCAGCCCTGGCACACACAAAACATTCCCGTCACGGCCTTCGGAGCCTGAATTTCAGCTTTGATCATCTTAAAGCACATAAATCTTTCAAAAAATTTGGGGGGGAGGGAGAGAAAAGATTCTCTTTGGTAATGCTCAAAGCTGCTGCTTGAAAGGCTCGAGTGGCTACCGTGGCTTCGTGACATTTAAACAAGTTTGCTGATGTGGAGTGGACAGGAGCCCAGGAGGAACCTGCCCATCTGTGGTTCTCCCTGCTCAGAGAATGGTGGGAATCCATCCTGCATCTCGTTTGTGCACTGCTGCCATCAGAGTCGTGTTCCAGCAGCAGGTGGAGGAGGCCAGGGCTGCACACAGGGACATCAGCAAGCACAGACAGGATCCAGAGAGCAGCCAGCACTCCTGCAGCTGAGCAGAGCCAGCCCAGAGCCCGTGGGCTGCTGGGCAGCCAGAGCTCTGCCGTGCTGAATAACACCTTTGTCAAAGGACAATATCTGACATTGCCCCAAAGCCATGGTTATATCTTGGCCTAAGGTCATCATCCCTGTTCTTGACCATCATTTAGATTCACCACTCCTCTGCCAGCAGCCAGCACATCACCTCTGCATCCACCAGATCCTCTTTCATTCCTCTGAGTACCAAGACAGGGTAAGAGCCCATTTCCCTTTGGGAAGCTGAGCATCCTGCACTGATGCAAGGACAAGATGAGCCCTGGCTCCCATCTGTGGGTGTGGTGCAGCCCAGGGCAGGGCTGGCTCCCTGCAGTACTTACATGCATTGGGGGACCCGTTGGGCAGAGGCAGGTAGGACCCTGCTCGCCAGGACCTGGAGCGAAAGTTCTTCTTGCACTTGCCACAGTCCTGGCCCGTGGTGTTGTGCTCACACTCACACTGGAGGCTGCCCTCTTTGAAGGTGCACAGGTTGGCATGGAGGTTGCATTTACACCTGGAGGAAGAAGACAGGGAAGAGCTGTCAGGTGTTACTTCTGCTCCTCCTTGCCTCCGGTGTAGTGCTGAAGATGTGCTGAGGCCAGGCTGGTCACTCCTTCCCTGCTCCTCCTGCAGGTTTTTCTCACTGGACTCAGCAGTTTTCCCCAGGTATCTGGTGCTGGGGTTCAATGTCCTTCTGCTCACCCAGGGCAGATATGCAGCCTCTCATCCAAGATGAGACTCTTCACTCCCACTGTCTGACTGAGGAGCACAGACTGTTTAATGGCAAGTCAACATCTGCAGCTGAGACACCAGGAAGGGATCGCTCACACGTCAGGCTGTTACAGGAATCTGGGTAATCACCTCGGATGGAGTCTCTGGCTTTGGATGGAGGAGCTGGGTTAACCCTGGTGGCACTCAGCCCTTGCCCCCTGTGCACTGTGCCAAAGCCAACAGCATTTTCTCCTGGAGAAAGGAGTGAGGCTGCCCAGCACAAACCATCTTCCCCATGTGCAGCACAGCCCCAGGCTGCTGTGACCAAAATAACACAGACAACAAGCCACCACCAGCATCCACCAGCTAGTCCCCGCCTCATCAGAGAAGGCAACAACTAAAATCGCTATTCAGCAATTTGCAAACATTAAGAAACTTTTAATGAGCTGTAGTGCAGTATGCAGGGAATAATTATCTCTGTGCACAATAATTCCTGTTGCTCAGACTCCGGAGGTGACTCGTGCAGAGCGCAGAGCCTGAGCCCATAACTCACACGTGGCTCTGGTGGCTCCTGGGCCCGAGCTGAGGCCATCAGACAGAGACTTTGGGGACCAAAACATCTCATTTCATTCCAGACAGCTGATCCCTAGCACAGCCTGACGGCTTTCCTTGCTTTGTGCAATAATTTACGCTCTCAGAAGCAGAAGCATTAGAAAACAGTAATGCTGTGCCTTCTGTGCAGGGGTGGAGATGTCTGATGGGGCAGAGCTTCCTTTTACAGGGCTCAGGAGATGCAGAGCCGAGGGAATGAAACAGAGGAAGCGTGGCCTGTGTTCCTTGTGCTGTCTGCACTGGGATAAGCAGCCTGGGTTAGGCTGGCAGCTGGGAGTGGGGTGCTGGTGCTGCTCCTGCCCCCCACTCCTGGTGCCTCTCCCCTCTCCCTTGGAGCCCCCAGAGAAGCTCCCCAGCCACCTGCCTGAGCTGAGGCCGCCTTTGCCGTGCTCTCCTCACGCATGGCTGGGTAAGCTGACCTCATGTACGATTTCTTTTTTCCCCTCTCCCTCCCCTCCCTGTCCTTAATTCTAGCAAACCCCGCTCAGAGGCTCAGCATAAGCTGGATGAGCAATCTCTCCCCGTCTTACAACCCTGCCCTGTGTCTGACCAAGCAGAGGAGGGAATTTTGCAGTCTCTAAAAGGGAGGAAAGAGGAACACTCTACCCAGGGAGCAGAGACACAGTCAGCACGCTCCACTTTGAGGGCTGGAGGTGCTGCCTCACGGCTGAAAGCACTGACAGCCTCTGAGCACTGCTGCCCTGGGAGCGAGCCACCAGCCCCACATCCAGGGCAAAGAAGTGGCTTGGGCTGATGCCTACAGCCAGGGGGATGCTGAATTTCAGCTCTGCAGGTCCCCTTTGCCTCTGGGGAGAAAGGGTTTCTGAGCTGTCCCAGCCCTGTGGCAGAGGCGCTGCCCAGCCCCGGGTGCAGCAGAGCCTGGCTCTGAATTATTCAGCGTTCACACAGCGTGGCCTCCTTCTCTCACTTTAAAATGAGCAGACAGAGCAAAGCAGGCAGAGAGAGTGGGTTAAAGCAGGTTAAAGCAGGTCAAAGCCTCACCACTGCAGCTCTGGGCCCTGCCTGAGCAGAGGAACAGCTCCGGGAGCTGCAGCTCTCCTCTCTGCTGCTCTGATCAGGGCGAGGGGATGGGGCAGCTCCAGGGCACAGCCCCAGCACCCAGCCTAGGGGGTTTAGGAGCCCCAGGGGAGTGGGTGCAAGGATGGAAGGGACTGTCACAGCCCTTGTTTTCCCTGAAGTTTGGGATGAGGTGGAGAGCGGTGCTTGGCTCCAGTGTTTGACCCTGTGAGTCAGGGACCAGTCACAGTGGGGACATCAGCCCTGGGTGGCCACCACCTGATCCCTGAGGTAGCCTGAGGCAGCCTCCACCAACCCCCTCCACCTGTGGCACATCCCTGCTCCTGGCAGGAGCCAAGCAGATATTTTGGGGTGCTCCTGGCTCCCGGTGCAGGAGGGTGAGACTGTTCACCATTTGTGGCTCCAGCTACAAATCCTCCTCCCCACAGCGGGACCTGGCCTTGCTGAGGCACGGGTGTGTGCAGGAGGCAGATCCTCCACACACACTGCTCCTTGCTGCTGGGAGGACTGGGAGCCCAGCACCAGCTCCTGGGACAGCCCAGCTGCCTCCTGCCCAGCGGGATGGGGACAGGGAGGGATGTCCCCCAGCCAGGTGTGATAGAGCACTGCTCTTCCCAGGGGAGACCCTCACTTCCCAATTGGTGGAAACAAGGACAATTAAGCCAAGAGGAAGCAGAGGCAGGTGTTCACCTTGTCTGCCTGTGCTTGGGTCACTGATTTTTTTCACTGCTAGGCCCTTTGCCACTGTGCAAAAGTTTTGTTATCCGAAGGATCAATTTTGCCAGGGAATTGCTTTCTGAATTCGACCTTTGAGGATCATTAATCTAAGCAGGGAACTGTGACCCCAGCAGGCTGACCCCACAGCACAGCACTTTTCAGCCCAATCAATCAGGCTGCATTATTTAATGGTGAACAGCCCAGCACCCTCAGCCAGCCCTGTTTTGGGCAGAGGTTTCTGCAAACTGGCCTTCCTGCAGCTCAGGCTCAGTGGATCAGCTTCAACCCTTTCCTCAGGCTCCTGTGCCTCCTCCTCTGGGCCCACAGCCCAAGGACATGCTGATGGTCTGTGCCTGCCTTTCCCCAGCCAAGACTCAGCTGGTGCAGACTGGAGTAAATGGCATTAGCCCAGTCCCCTGGGTGGGAGCTGCTCCTCCTGCTCGCTCTGCTCATCCTCCTCGGCGCCCAGCCATGGCAGGAAGGAGAGGATGAAGGGAAAGGTTAGGAGCTACTTAGCAATGAGGCTTAAAAATCAGCAGCGGGGCAGACACCTGCTCTGTGTCCTGCAGAAGGGAGCTGTGGCCCTGCTCCAGCCCCAGGGCTGCTCCAGCAAAGTGCTGGTTGCAATATGGTCTCTCTGGCTCCGGAGGAGATCTGGGAGTGTTTCTCCTCTCTGGCTCGTGGGTCAGGGCTGTGCTGACAGTGCTGTTTCTCAGTGAGCCTGTGTAGGGTCAGCAGTGGTGGGGAGCAGCCCCAGCAGGAGCTGCAGCACCCTCGGACACCAGGGACACCCACCCTGCACCAGGCTGGCAGGAGGTCACACCACTGCGCTTATCAATCAACAAAAAGCGGCTCACACTGTTCCCAGCAGGAGTGGCCAGAGCAATGTGTGCCCCAAGATGTTCCAGCTTGCACAAAGGGGTATTTATGAGTTTATTTTAGTGCAGGTCATCCAGCTTTCCTCAGAGTGGTGCAGTGTGGTTCTGACGCTGCCAATGCCTCCACCAGGGAACATCACGGAGCTTGGAGCGCCAAGGAAAGTTTACAGGAAAGTGTCCTTTCTTTTTCCTTTCTTCTTTTTTTTGTTTTTTTTTCAGCCATAAAGAACACTTTTCTGCAATTCTCCATGTCAGCATCCTGGAGGTCACAGCAGCGAGCTGCTGGAGAGGTGTCTGGTGCCAAGCCCACGTGTGAGGGAAGGAGATGCCCACACACAGGAAGGGGGTGAGTGCAGCAAACCTGCAGCAAGCCTCCCTCTGTGCTGGGAGTGGGAAAAACAGCCTCTTTCCCTGAGCTGTCATTAATAATGACTTTTGAAGTAATTTTAAAAAGCCATCCCAGCCCTTTGTTTCCCTTCCAAGGATTCTTACCTGTCTTACAGCCCTTTTTCTGTCCTCAACCCCACTTGCAGAGCACAGAAGTGAGGCAGAGAAAGGCAAAGAGCATCTCCTCATCCCTCTCTCTTCCTGCAGGGATGGGGCAGCCTTGGGGTGCTGTACCCCCTCTGGCCTGATGCAGTGACACTGCTGGAGGAACTGCTGGGTGGGGACTTAGAGAGCTGCTCCATCTCCTTGTGCCTCCTGCCCAGCTCCCATGAGACAACACTGAGCACCCTGAGCTGCTTAAAAAACCCCGGACATGGAGCAGCAGAAGACCACCACGTCCCCTGTGCATCCCTCTCCACGAGGATGCTCTGCAAGGCCACAGGGACGCTCTGGAGGCTGCTGGTCCCATCCTGCTGGGTTCCCAGCCATCAATCCCCTGCCTTTCCCCCCCCGGGCTCGGCTTTGCCCCCTGCTCCCTTCTGCTGGTGCTGGAGGCAGCTCGGAGAGCCGCTGGTGAGTGCCGGCCGCAGGAAATCTTCTGCGAGCTTTCCCTGAATTGTTTGCTCTCACTGTAATTGATGAGCCTTTAATGAGTCTCACGGGACGATGTGTTTGAAGGGAGCTCTTTCCTCGCCGTCCCCAAGGAAAAGGATGTTTCAAGTGATCTGGGCTCTCGGGGAAACATGAATAACTCTTCTCCATCTTCTCTATTGTCATCCCCAGCGCTGCTGGCAGCCGCCTGGCCATCACTTACCCACTCCTACCTGCTCTTTTGCAACTGTTTTGGCAGCTCAGCAAAAGCAGGGAGCAAATCTTTTGGGCAAAGCATAACGGGTGCTGAGCTTGGATTGTTTCTGGCCCATCTGTGCGTGTGGAAGCAGGTAAAAATAGCAGCTAATGGCTGGGCCATGGATGAAGCACAGTCCCTTTGTGGAGAGCGTTGATATCAGGGTTTGCCTTGCTGGGACATCACTCTGCCAGGGGTTTGCTGTTGCCAGTCCTGGAGCAGGGCTCAAGGGATGAAGAAGGCAATGGTGGCTCATCCAGAGCTTCCCTAAGCCTGTGGTCCAGAGGCTGAAGGAGAGGGAAAAGCATTTTAACGTGTTGTTTT